TTGTATCTTGATCAACATGTATCCCTTGCTAGAAAGGTAACAAAGGCTCGTCCCTTAAAGTGGTTCTTACCCCTAAAAATGGATTATATGTTTTGATTTTAAGGGAGTGTTTTGAATTTATACCTAAGATGTTCATTCCTCTTTCTTTTTTAGGATAGTTCATCCCAAGTTCATTTTAGTCTTGTCTTACTTGAGGACAAGTAAGGTTTAAGCATGGGGTGATTTGATAGTTTCGTTTTTATTACTTCTTTTCATAGTTTATTTTTAGTCAAAACCATCTCATTTTAGTTAACCTTCATGTATATTTTCTCTTTTTGTTATTTTTCTCCTTTACCGGGTGCTTTCCAGTCTTTTGAGCTTAATTGCAGGATTTATCGAAGACTTTTTATTATTGGAGGCGTGGAAGGAGTGCGGGACTGCTGGACTCTTGCAATTTGTTTATGGACTTGAAGTGGTGCAATTGGTCTTGGTGTCAACATAAACAAGAAAGCGCGTCAGACTTAAATTTCGGGCGGGACGACGAGAATTCGAGCTATAGAAGATTAAAGGAGCATTGGAGCATCTTGGAAGAGCTTTGGAATGGCACAATTGGGCTATCAAGAACTTGCACAAATGGGTTGGAGCATAAGTTAGAAGATTGGGCTGGATGGTATTTGTAATGGGCCAAAGCATGCTTTCAGCGTGACCCACGCGGTCCGCGTAGATGCATACGCGGTCCGCGTGAAGAGTGGTGAAGTGAACTCGGGTTTTGACTTGGTGACTCTATTTATGGAAGGTTGGTGGGTGGCTTTTAGCAACTTTTTGAATACGGAAATGAACCCCTTTTACTGGAGATTTGAAGCATTTTTGCATCATAAACACTTTGAGGAAGGACTCCATTCTTTGCTCTCAAGAAGGCTTTGGAAGAATTAGATGATTTAGAAGATTGGTGTAATTTCTTTCCATCTTGCAACTAGAACAATGTTTGGTACCACTAAACTACCTTGCATTTCTTCTATCTTGGCCATGCTTGGCTAAATTCTCATTTGGTTGATTAGGGTTTAATCCCATGGATGATTGGTTGTTTTGAAGACTATTATTACCTTGTGTTTGAAGTTTATGGAAATGTTCTCTAGTTAAACATCTTTTTATGATTGTTTATCTTTGATCATGAGCTTAGAAGAATAAACATATATTTTTGTTGATCAATTTCTTGGTTAAGTAATGGACTTTGAGATTGGTAAGCAACAAATGGTTTCTATGTTTGTTTTCATTTCATTTATACCATGGGAATGTTTCCTCCATAATGATAATGTAATCATTTGATTATATTATGGACTTGGTAACTCTTAGAACTCAAAGTTAATTGATTTTCATAAGATTATATGCTTCATTGATTTTGTGACTTTAATTAAGGGAATGTGTTAGAGCTCCTCTAACTATTTTAATATCTAAGAAGAGTTGAGGTGATTTGTGCTTATGAATTGCTATAGCCAAGTTAAACCAATTCACAAGTGTTGTTCCTTTTAGTCTAATGATAAGTCAACTATATCATCCATGTGGTGTATCCCAAAATCAACCAATTTCACTTCATTGATTTTTAATCAAATCTTTTATTTGTCTATTTGTCATATTTACATTCCAGCTAGTTTTTAATTTTGTCAAACAATCCCAAAGAATTAAACCCCCCTCCATTTTACTTTCACTTTTGTTTTACATGTACTTGAACAAGTGATTTACATAGAGACTTAAATTGAACCAATCTCCATGGATACGATCCCTTTACCACTATACACTATTTTAGTGTGTAATATTTAGGGTTATTAATTTTGTTGGCCTCGACAACCACCAAATTTTGGCGCCGTTGCCGAGGATTGGTTTATTTTTAATCAATTTGTTTCTCTATGCTCAGATCTCAAGATCTCAACGTACAGCTGCTTTGATTTATAATCCGGAAATTGAAAAATAAGCAAGACTTTTGGCGAAGGAAAAAATAATAGAACGTGGTCAAACTTCACATCCTCACAGGGATCCGGAGGTTGAAACCGCTTCATCAAGTGACACGGAACCCGATTCTAGTCCCGACCCTCGCCAAGAAATTCCCGAAACACCACACCTACAAAAAAATCCACCAATTATTGAACCAATTGCAATGGCGGACGGAGGAGAAGTTCCCGAGAGAACTTTGAGGCAAATGATGGAAACCGATGTTACACAAACTCCAACCGGTAATTACCCAGTTTTGGAAGGAGGCTCGGAGTTGAAATCAAGTTTAGTCCATCACCTCCCAACTTTTCATGGATTGGAGAATGAAGACCCTCATAAGCACTTGAAGATGTTCCATATTATTTGCACTAGTATGAAGCCACAAGGGTCAACCAATGACCAAATCAAGCTAAGGGCATTCCCCTTTTCATTGACCGATAGAGCAAAAAGATTGGTTATTTTATCTTCCACCGGGGTCAATAAACTCATGGACCGACATGGCAAGAGCTTTTCTTGATAAGTTCTATCCCGCTTCAAGAGTCTCAGGTCTTTGAAATGAGATTTGTGGAATCCGCCAAGGTCAAAATGAGACTTTTCATGATTATTGGGAGAGGTTCAACAACTTGTGCTATAGTTGCCCACAACACCAAATTCCGGAACAACTCCTCATTCAACACTTCTATGAGGGATTGTTGCCAATGGAGAGAAGACTAGTTGATGCCTCAAGTGGTGGAGATGTCTTTAGCAAAACTCCACAACAAAGAAGACAACTCTTCAGCACCATAGCCGCAAACTCCCAACATTTTGGCCCGCGCCAAGATATGAAGAGAGAGAGAGAGACACAACACAAAGTCAATGAAGTGGGAACATCAAATCACGAGTCTCAAATCAAAGACTTAACCTTCGTTTTTCAAAAGTTAGCTATGGGATAAACTCCACAAGTGATGGTTTGTGGAATATGTGCAACAATGGGACATCCTACGGATATGTGTCCCATTCTTCAAGAAGACGCAGAACATGTAAACGCCATGGGAGAGTTCCAAAATTACCACAATAAGCCATCCGGTTACCAAAATGCTTACAATTCAAGTTGGAAGCCAAATCCCAAAAATGAGCTACAACCCAAGACCATTTCCTCAAAACACATTGGTTAGACCTTCCTATCCACCACCACAACCTCACTACCAAACACCCACAACCACACTATCAATCCAAACCACACCCACCACATCACCAACAACCTCCTCAATGCCAACCAAGTAGCTCCGGAATGTCCCTTGAAGACATTGTCAGATCCCTAGCCACTAGTACCCAACAATTCCAAAAAGAGACAAGGACTAGTATCTCCAACCTTGAAGCACAAATGGGAGATATAGTTACATCCATAAGCAAGTTGGAGTCCCGTAGTAAACTCCCTTATCAAACCGAAAATAACCCAAAATGTCAATGTGGTGACCTTAAGAAGTGGCAAACAAACTGGAGAAAGTAGTTCAAAGAAGAAGCCAAGGGATGAAGAAGAAGAAATAGAAGTCATTCCCATTGAAGAATCTATAGTCAAGAACGATGCACAAGCCGGAGTTCCAAAGAAGAGTATTCCCGTCGTAACACCAATAGCCACTCAACTGCCATTCCCCTCCCGACTTACAACTTCAAACAAGAATATGGAGGAGAAAGAGATTTTAGACACCTTCCGAAAGGTGGAAGTAAAAATTCATTTACTTGATGCAATCAAACAAATTCCTAGATATGCAAAATTCTTGAAAGAGCTTTGCACCAACAAGAGAAAGTTGAAGGGAAATGAGAAGTTGGCATCCTTTGCTTCTACTTGATTTATCACTTTTTCTAACCCCGTAATGTACAGTTGGCCTTGAAGATCTGTTAGGCCCTTAAGGTCGGATATTTTGAACCCATCACTTTCTTCAATAATGACCTTGGTTAGAGTTTGTAATCTCGTCAAACCACCGATCCCTAAGGGCGTTTTGTTCAAATTTGGAGTATCACTTATGTCAAGATGTCGCAGGTTTATTAACTTTGAAAAACTTTCTGGCAAGCTAGATAACTTATAGCAATGACGAACCAACAAGCTCTGTAGATTATAAAGTTCACTCACTTCTTCTGGCAAACATCTGATTTTAGTATGAGAAAAATTAAGGTACCGTAGATGCTTGATACTACCAATGGATTTTGGTACCTCTTTGACTACCCGAGTAGATTGTGGCATGTCAAGGTTTGGAGTCAAGTCCATGACACTTAGCACCCTCAAGAACTGTAATTCAGGAAGTAATTCCACAAGAACTTTGTCAAAGCCGTCAATTTCCTCACTAACTGACATTATTAAGAAAGTCCGCAAGTGTTTAGCTCTTTGTAATTCCTTCGGCTTCCTATATGATCCCGATGCTTCCTATATGATCCCGATGCTGGAGCTATAAGTTAAAAGTGACGAAACTTATTAAAAGTTTCAGTCATGTCAGATACATTCACCTCACCATCCAATCTAAGGGAAACATCTCCTGCAACACTCGTGGCCAAGTCATTTAACAAGTCATGCATTGTGTATCCTAAGGCGTCATTCATTGAATGTTGAAAAAAGGACCTCGACTTTAGCTCTTCAAAATACTCATGGCCTAAACGCTCCATTGACTTGTTTCCTTTTGATTGGGACAAAAATCCTTCTGCCATCCATAATAGGACTAACTGGTTCTTGTCAAACACATAGTCCTTTGAAAGTAAGGGCATCCACAATGCATTGAACTCAATAGGGTTTAATAGATTGTCACATCATTTTTCTACATTCCATACAACTCTATCAATTTTTTCCTACAATGCATTGAACTCTACAAAGTTCAATAGAAAGTTACAAAAGCTAATTTATTGTATGTATGTAAGATTAAAAAACTTTCCTTTTTCCCATTGAAGAGTTCAATGGCCATTGAACTCCAAATCCATTGAATGCCAAGGTGGCATCTCACTATGGTAGAGTTTCATCCATTGAATGACAACTAGACTAGACACCTCATTCAACCCTCCCATTAAACTCACCATTGTGGATGCTCTAAGGAGCAATATGCAAATAACTGCTTCAAATGTGGAGGGAGGTGATAGTAGCTTAGTATTAGAGCCGGAAGAGTATCACTTCCATCCTCTATATCCCATATCTCACTCTTCAACAACTCCTCCCATTTATCGTCATTCCTATTTCCCTTCAAGATCCTCCCAAGTGCTTTCAAAGCCAAAGGCAATCTACCACATTTCTGAATCATACCTTCACCAAGCAACTTAAGCGTTGGATGATTGTTAAAGTTTTTTTCACTTAATGCATGCTGAGCAAATAATGACAAAGCATCTTCATTTGACAAAAAATTCAAAGGATAAGTTTCTTATGAGTCCATCACAGATGCAACTTTGGTACTCCTGGTTGTAACAATAACTCTACTTCCAGGTGCCCCTTCAAGAAGAGGGTTTTGGAGGAGTTCCCACTTATTGTGGTCTTCGTTCCAGACATCGTCTAGAACAAGTAGGAACCTCTTCTTTGAAACTTCTTCTTTAAGGGCTACATGAAGCAGATCTAGATTAGCAAAATCTTTGTTTTTCCCCGTTACTGCTTGGAAGATAGCCTTGCTAATGTTAAACACATCGCACTCTTCAGAAACACAAACCCATGCCCTGACTTCAAAATGATCCTTCACTTTCTCCTCGTTGTATAAAACTTTGGCTAGAGTAGTTTTTCCTATTCCAACCATTCCTACTATCGACATTATGCTTACATTTTCATCACATTCTTCTTTCCCTAACAACTTCCCCATCAATGCCTCTTTATCCCCTTCCCGGCCCATGTTTTTGGTCTCATCAACCAGTGATGTTTGCTCCAACGCCCTCTCTCTTATATTTGACTTTTCAACATCCACATTCAAACCCATATCTTTTTTCTGGTCAGCAAGATCGCATAATTTGGCGGTGATCTCTTCAAGCTTAGAACTCATATGCTGACCATACCAGATGTTTCGAGGAGTGAAACTAGTACAACAATTTGGGACGAACTTCAATACCTTACTAGTTTTGGTGCTGGCATGAGCTTCTTGATTCAACTTGCGTCCCAGAGCTCCCGTGGCCAGATCATCAAGTATATCATCTATGTCGTAAGCCAAATCCTGGAAATCATTCACCCATAGTTGAACAACTCTCTCTTTAATCTGCTTCTGGGTTGCATCAGCAAGCACGGCATGGATCATGGGAAAAATTTTCTTCCATTTCTTCAGCTGAGAATCGATCCCTTCCGATTGATCCAGCTTCATCAAGTCACCGGAGATCAGCCTCTCACACAACACGGTGATGACAACGCTAACAACGATTTCCGCCATGGGAATTTGGAGAAAGGAAAGATTCGGTTCTTTTGTTTGATCAGGGAATTTGATTTGAAGATAAGAAAAGAAAAAAGGGAACGTAGACACAGAATTGTCTAATTTATTACATAATAACGGTTGAATACTTTTAATAAATTATATTGTTAGAAAAAGCCACGTCATACAGTAAATATAGACCAATGTTAAATATATTTTGTAACAACCAAAATTTTCCAACCAATTTAAACTTTTCAAAACAACCCAAATCCATTAATTATTACAAAAAGGTTTTCATTTAGTTTATTATCAGAGCATCCCAGAAACATCAGCATAAAAATGAGGAGCGGTACGATCATGCCTTCGCCTTGCCACGATCTCCTGAAGTACCTGAAACAATACACTGAAACTGTAAGCCCGAAAGCTTAGTGAGTTACCCCCAAAATACCAACCACATAACCATACACATATCAAATCATATCATAGTACAGAACAGCCATGCATATCGAGTCTACAGTGTGACTGGTCCGCCCGTACCGAGCCTTCAGTCCACCTGGTCCACTCTCTGAGTCTATAGTATGACTAGTCCGCCCGCACCGAGCCTTCAGTCGGTCTGGTCCACTCCCCGAGCCTCGGCACGTCTGGACCACCTTCCTGGGGCCTTCAACCTATCCGGACCGCTCGCTGGGCCTACGGTCTATCCGGTCCGCCCTGGGTATGTTGGCCTACAACACAAAGCAGGACCCGCCTCAACCCAACCTCAGTCAAACCACCATGTGCACATAAAATAGTCAATCACGTAATAATCCCCAAACAAACCGATCTATCAGATCAAACAGCATAACAACATCCTAACCAGGATACCGACCTGACCGGTCACTTAACATAGCATTACCCTATATACCAGGATACCGACCTTAACCAGGTCACTAACATAACATTACCCTATATACCAGGATACCGACCTTAACCAGGTCACTAACATTATACCATCCTAATTACCAGGATGCAGACATAGCAAATCAATACATATGAAACAAATACTCGGATTCCCATCCGATAAAGGGCCGGCCTTGGTGCCTTAGACCCTGTTGATATAGTGAGGAGAACTCACCTTGCAACTGCCGAACCGAATCACGAAAGCACAAACCCGAAGCACTGCCTCCGACTCCAACACCTATAATCAATAATGATCCAATGACAGAAATATCCAAAAATTACCATAATACCCCTGAAGGTCAAACTGGTCCAAGTCCACCTTCCTGATTGACCCTACTCGCCGAGTCATCCCATTGACTCGCCGCGTTCCTAAACTCAGGAAACTCTCATAACACGACTCAACTCGGCGAGTCACCCCATGACTCGTCGAGTTCAACAATCTCCGAGTCATATCCTGTCAAACTCACTGAGTCACCACTCAACTCACTGATCTGAATCTAACCAGAAGAGGTTGGGGGTTTTGCACTCTGACTCGCCGAGTCCAAGAACCGACTCGCCGGGTCCACGACAATCTTCATCAGACTCTCCGAGTTGTTCTTCCACTCGTCGAGTCCAAGCTCATCATCATATGACTCGTCGAGTTCACCCATGCGACTCGCCGAGTCACTACGCGACTCAATGCCTGAAGCCCTAGCCCAACTCACCGAGTCATCTCCCAGACTCGCCGAGTTGATACGGGTATTCCCATAATCGAAAGATACATATCTACTCCTTTGCTCCAAACAATAGATCTGGGTCCCTAGAGTGCCTTAGCAACATAAAGTTGCTACCTTTACGTGCTTCATGCCCCATAATTCCAAAAACCAATCTAGAAAGGAACTTAACTCATGGGGAATGGCTTTTGCATAGCAATTAGAAGGGCTTTCTGCATATTTGATCCAAATAGAACTCAGATCTGTAGCTTCAGCTCCAGATCTAACTCATGCACCAAGATCTCGTCATATTATCTCCAAACAAACCCTAAAACTCCATGAAAGATGGATCTAGAAAGGAGAAGGCCAAGGATAACGATTCATTACCTCCAAAACGACCTCCCACTGAAGAATAAGCCGAATCTCCACAAATCTCCTTGATCCAAGCTCCTTGATCTTCAAAATCTCTTCACAAAATCACTTATCTAAGCTCCAAATTGCTTCCAAGGGCTCTCACTCACGCTTTTAAGGTTTCTGGATCTCAAAGGGTAGTAAGGGGGCTGAGGGGAGGATATTAAGTCCTTTAAATAGGGTGCAAACCCTAAGATTAGGGTTTTCCTCTTCCAGCACTGACTCGTCGAGTCTAGCCCCCGACTCGGCGAGTCAGGCCACTTATCACGTGCTCTTCACACGCTCCGACTCGACGAGTCATAGCTCCAACTCGCCGAGTCCATCCTTCTAATAACACTTTACACCCCTGAACTCTTGCTTCTGAACTTGGGGTGTTACATATTTGGAAAAAGTTTCATTTTTAATATTATAAAAAAACATTGAATATGCGGTGTCAAAATATATAAAAAAAATAAAAATAAAAAATATTTTAATTTCATATTATAATTTGATATGAAACTTATATTTTTAAATATTTATATAATTATATAAGACTCATTATCTTTAAAATGTTTGTCGATTCTATGGAATCTCTAATCTCTAATAATTATTAAAAGAGAACCTTAAATTCACAAATAAAGAAATCAGAACCCTTGATTGCATTCATTAATAGGTTTTCTACCATTGGATCATTTTGCTGACATCACCATTGTCAAATCTCTTTTTTCCTGCCTAAAGAATTACTACCATATTATCTTGCATCTAGATTTCAAATAATTTTAAAAGAGTTACCATAAATCTTATACTCTATAATGACATAAAATCAGGAAAATGATTTGGAGTTATGGATTTTCCTATTTTAAATGGCTACACAACCATTTATCTTCCTCATTTTTAATTTTCTCTCTAAAACCATAGCTTCGAGAAAGAACACAAATGGCAAACCATTCGATTTGTGCTTGGACTGCTAGTATTATGTTATTCCAGTGCTTGTTCCTTCTGTTGCAAATCGATTTGAAGTTATAGCAAACAACTGACTCTTAGCACAGGTAACAAACTCAATTGGGTTTTCAGTTTTAGGGTATTACGTTTGTGTAATCGATTCAAATCACATACTCGATTACCTGCTTCTGTCTCTGATTTGGCTTCTGTCTGATTTCCTACAATTTGATAGTTGATGACAGGTATAAAATTTCGATTTAATTGATTTAATCACTTTTATGTTCTTCATTTTTCAGATGATGGCGTTTGTAGGAACCAAGAATAAACGTTTTGCCTTTTTTTCAAGAAGGAAGAAGGAAGATTTGCGGGTGTGGTCCTCATGAAGGAAGGAATGGAGTAAGGGGTTGTTTCTTTTTAATGTAATGCACTTAATTTATAAAAAAAATTAATAGATTCAGATATATGTAGATATATGTAGGTGTTTCTTTTTACTTAATCTTAATAAAATCTCTTATAAAATTAAGTGAAGAGTAGGGTGTTGTTAACGTTCAATGGTAATTTCATGTTTAATCTACCTATAACACCCTCACCTTATGACGTTTCCCACAAAATTAGGAGAGTTCTCTGTCACACATTATTGAAAATAACATCAAAACAAGTAATTGTTGAGCATACTGTTATATATTTCAAGCTACTTATATTCTCCGTCTTACATTTTCTTTGTCTATACATTTCATGCATCATGTTCTTCCCCAACAGCTTGAAATTGAGGTTAATTACTCCCACGCATGCTTTCTTTCTTCTCAAGGTACACTTTCTTTTTATTATTTTGTATTGATTTTCCTAATAAAAATGTTGGATCTTGCCTCATGTAATCCTGTATCCTTTTATCTATTGCCCGAAAATTAAACATCAGAACTAATTCTTGAAACTGACTTTTCTTGAAATTGGCTTATGGTATTGTGATGGGTTATTATTTTTGTAATTAACCAAGTTTTGTTATAAGTTTTACATTTTTATTAGGACATTTGTTTAATGAAATTGATTCTTGTGGGTTTAGGTGGCTTCCATTTTAACAGTAATATATATTTCTCTGGGATGCATATTAGTTGTTTGATAAAATGTCTGGACCAAAAGAGTTTCAAAATCTTCAATTTTCATGAAATCTTCAATCCAAACGAACATATGTTTGTTTTATTTTTTTTGTTCAAATAACTTTTCCAAAGGCATATATAGTCGCTTGGTTTATTGAAGACCACACAACCAAAAAATGCATATACTTTTTTGATGCTTTGTAACAATTGTTGTATTAATTATATATGAAAACTTTTACATCATTTCCTTTTCATATACCACCAAATACCAATTTGCCTCTTCAAGCTACAATACTCAGTTTCAGTAATTTGATAGACAACGATTATGGTTTTCATTTTCTAATTATATAGGGTCTAAGTATTTTACTGACTTGTAAATAATGCAGATTATCTTAACTTTCCATAACTTTAAACAATTGATTATCAAATGAAAAAAGCTTGGTGGTCACAAATGGTTAGCAATGATGGATGGACTATACCAGTAAATAAGATCAAGAAGCTCCCCCACAACATTGTTTGATGACCAGCATGTTTTTTGTCTTTATATCGACCAAATTTTTTTTATTAACCATGGTTGTTGCAAAATCATATTTTCTTATTGATTTTTACATGAGTGGTTATAATAAATCTAAAAACGCAATCATGTTGGAGGAGCATTTTCCACAAAAAAATAAATGCAAGCTTAAACTTCCATTTTAAAAATGTTGCATTAAACCATTAAAACAAACATTTTATTTGATAACATTCTAAGTATTTTCATTCCATTCATTTATATAAGTTTTGTCCATTTACCCATTTCTATAATGGGTGGTTTATTTAAAAAACACAGATTTTAATAAATAAATTAGAAAGTAACATTGTTATTAGCCTATTTCCTATAAAACAAATGCAAGTTCATCACACTTATTGGTAAAAAATAAACTTGGTTGTTATTTCCTGTAACTTTTATCCTTATTTCCAGTAA